AATACCGGCTGGGAGCATTCAACATGCGAGGATATATAAGGGATGCGGTAAGACTCTCTCAAGCAAACGCGACGCAACAGGAGCATCGATCGGGAATGAGAACTTCGCAGCAAGCTCGATGCAACGGGAGCAACGATCAAAACGTTCAATTAGTCTCTGACAAGAGCTGATAACTAAAGAAGCTGTAGTTCTACTTACTTCCACCCTGCAGAATCCTGTACAGCTTCGACTCATAGAGCAGCTGAGGGTGCTTGGTCTTAGTAGATTCCTGCATGTCGATCGGGCAGTATATTGTCAGGTCTGCTACTAAAAGGAATGGATGACAAGACACATGATGAGGTCGCATACCAGCTTAATACCGACTTCTTCGTTTGTCTGGATGTTCGTGCCTGTAAATCACGGGACGACGAACGTAAGTCGTTATAAAAATAAACTCTTAAAACTCCTCGTGTTACATAAATGGTTGCTAACATACCCAGATAGATCTCTCCAAACGACCCGCTTCCAATCTTCCTCCCGAGTCTATACTTGTTGGCTATCCGAGGCTCCATCCCCGACATGGTTCCTGCTGGTTTAATCTACTAGCGTACAGGTCTGCGAATCGTTGACAGCTCACCCGCCGCTACAATCAGCACGCATAGTTCCCAGAACCTAATCTGATGAAACCCTAAACTACCTATATACAAGTAATGCTCGACAAGAAGCTTTGTTTCGGCAAGTCAAAGATACGCAGATATGTATTTAAAATTTCCTACTAAACCTAAGGATCAAAGTTGTGGAAATCTAGAGGATTTGGATGGGCAGCCATAAACGGGGGCTGCTGTAAGTTTGTACTCCTCGAGGTTGGGGCACCATCAGAAGTCTGGCGGAGGGTTCTCGGGGAGGGGTGAGGAGGAGAGGATAGCAGCTGGGAAAAGTGAGGACAAGCTTCCTTTCCTGACCTTGACTGAGGCAAGCTCACCTCTTTTTCCCCTGACAAACCACGAACCATGGTCTCCACCGCAGTCCACCCAAGCCAAGCCACACTTCCCAACCAAGCCAAGGCTGTCCAGGTATTTCGGTTGCGTTTGGTCCGAACCACTCATTTTCATCTAGGGGAAAGCTCCCCCAAGCCAACCACCAAGTTGGGCAGCGAGCCCCAAGCGGCACGATGACGGTGGCGAACGTCGCTAACCGTCACCTGCGTCCATAACCTCGCTGTCAATGAAACGACGTCAGCTTGCTGGATCAGCTCGACCTTAAGAAATCGTAACGCACAGGGGGATTCGGCAAGCAAGGCACACGAACAGCGGGTAATTTGCGTGTAACAACAAATTATCTTGGCGAACATGCAGTGTATGTGGTGCTATTTTCCAAGCATTACAATCTGTTAATGGAGAACAAAGTTTATGTCAGCTTCATTGCGCCCCACTCTAGTCCTCCCCAAGCAAACCCTTTCTGGCGATTGTAACTTACTCTCAAATCGAGCATGGGTGGAATCGTGCATGGGTGGAATCGTGCACTATTGCAAACAACCAAGCATTTATGTCACAGTGTGCAATTACCTCGTGTACGTGTGCCACCATGTGCAATTACCAAGTGAATGGCCATTGGGTTGGAACCACAAACCATCATGGCTTACACCATGGCTAATCATACCACAATACATAACATTGCCATGAATGGTGTAGAGCAGCCAGAACTCTGCAGGCCATGATAGCTGGTTCAATGAAACAAATAAACAACTACTGCCACTTGAGTGAATGGGGCTCAGTAAGGTCATCCATTGCTCCATGTCTTATCCACAAAGGAAGCATCGGCTGCCAAACAACTTTACAGGACCAGGCGAAGAATACCTAGCCCAATAGCACTGACTGAAACCAGGGTACCTGCACCCACAGATCACATGCTGGTGTTAGAAAGTTTGCCTGGGGAAAGACAGGCAGGAATGCAGCAGTAAGAAGAGATACTGAAACCATTCTCTGTAACAACTTGCCTATGCAGTATCTGATGATTTCGAACTTGGCGCCTTCCAACTCTGCCTTCAATGTGTTCACCTCCTGAAATATCAAACAAGATCATTCCAGTATTAGCAGAAGAATCTGAATGTGCTAGTGTTCCATGTCTCAGCATGAACCAAGGTTACATACCCTATCCATCTTGTTGGACAAGCTGCTCAGCTCCTGAGTTTGAGCTGTGATTTCTTCTTTGATTCTCCTGTAAGGTTGTGGGGTAAGGGTGTGTTACACGGGCTTGCAACAAAGAGAGTGTACACCAATTCGGCACAACGATCTACCACATACCCTCTTTCCAAGTTCAGATCAAGACGTTGTCCTGCTGTCACCTTATCCACCTCGTATCTGCAAGTTGACAACCAGAGGACCAAGGAGCAGATGTTATAACAGCATGTGCATAGTGCTGCAGGTGCTATGAAGGTGATACACCTACCGTATTTCATTCTTTACTTTGTCCAAATCCGTCTTGAGCCCTTCAACCTCTCGGGTCAATCCAGCAAACTTCAAATCCTGTAGACCACAACTCCTACTCGATGAGTACCCCTTCAAAACAGACTCCTTGACAGCGTTTTCAACCTTACGTTCACCCACAATTTAGCCTCCTTGGTTTCGAAACCTTGGGTTCCTTGTTCAAGTTGGTGAGCACAATGTACTCAAATTTCAATCCCTTCATACCTGAAGGCTTTGAATTTCCGTCTTGACCTTGGCCATGGCTGCCTCCGCCACCATCTCTGACTGCATATAGTGAAGAATGAACAGAGGCATCAATGAATGAAACGCGTTACTCGACTCCACGATTGAGTTGGATGGGGTTGTGAAACTGCCGATCGTCAAACGTACCTTTTGCATTTCTGGCTTTGAGACGAAAGTGTGCGCGGCTGTGTCGAGGCTCTCATGGAGAACTTCCGTGATGAGATGTGTGATAGCCTCGGATTGCTTCGCCGTCAACCCTTCCGCCTCCAGCCTTCTCACCTGTTTTACAGACGCGGATCTCAGAACTAGAACAGGAAGTCCGAGAAACACCTCACGACATTGATTGCGAAAGGGGAAACAGTGGACATGGAACTTACAAGTGCGAGTGTGTCCACGAGAAACGCTTTTCTGCCGTTAGCGCTAGCTGTGACCATAGTCAGTGTTCGCCTTCCAGTGTGGAAATCTCGTCGGGGTATCGCAGGGTGGTTCGCTTGATCCTCTGGAACTGTAAATACTTGGTCACTACTTGGCAGACGCAATCCATACGGCATCACAAGCTCGCTTTGCTCGACGGGAGATCGATGGCTTGCTGATTTGGCTGCCTCGTGTGCTATGTGTCTGGATAATAGGGCTATCGAAAGTGGCCGCAATACGACAATCGCCACACGTCTTCCAATCTGATGTAGCGTGCCATGGCTACCACTTAATGCCATGTGGAGAGGTTTTTGTCGCGGGCCTGAGAACCTCCACACAGTAGTTCGCTGCAAGATTTGCAGCTCCTTGACTAAACCCCGCCTAGCTACGGGTATCTATACGCCAGTCTCCAAAAGACAGCACACACGACTACAGCTTGGTACCGTCATCGTGGACCAGATGGACTAGGAGAGTCGAGCCAGAGAAAATTAGAGTTCTCACCACGTGTGCTGGACGAGAAGTCGATCACTCAGATGCTAAACAAGTCTTCGATCAGCTGAGAGCACTACGACGGCTTCCACACTATGAATGGATATCAAAATCGATTAGGTGGACACTTATAATAACCAGCAGACCAAAACTCGAGGGACATAGACACAGTTGAATCAATATTCTGGTCTCGTCTCACCAACCCACTAGCATTCCATACGGAGTTGGAAATGGGACCACCTTGGGCAAGCAACGCGATGAGCTGCTCTGCTGTGTGCCAAAGAGAATGTCCTGTCAGGGACTCGTGTAAGGGCTTGCCCAAGCCTGATTGTCAGTGGTGCCCAGAATCGCGGACGCGCGGCTCGTTTCAGGAGTATTCCAGGGCAGGCGGGCGGGAGAGGTGAACCGCACCTACATTCTGCGTATACAGAGGATGGGTTGAACGGGGGTGATCCAAGACCAGACGACGAATGAAGCGGCTAGACGTCTACATGCCGCCAAGCTATCGCGAGTGATCGTCAATACACCCTCTTTCTCGCCAGACTGACATTGGCCATATTGACTGACCGGCTGTACTGACATCAATGCGTCCAGAATGGTCCCAGAACATACCATATAAGCACATTTGTCGCACTCAACCGTACGCAAACGCACGTTTCCTTCCATAAAACGTTGTGTACCGTTCCTCTGGAGTGCATTTGCCCGCCACCTACCTGCCGTTCGGTTGCAAGCACCAGATCGCTAGGGTCCAAGGAACAGTACGCTAGGGTCCAAGCAACAGTGCGCACTGTAGCCAGTGCTTCCCATTGTCAGTCTGGCGCGAGAGAGGGTGTACCGAAAATTGCCCCGAGATCACGCCCGTTGATCGCGAGCACACGTGACGACGGTCACCTGCATTGCTGGAAAATTGTGGCGGCATCCTCCCCATCGATTGGGTGATTGCATCCGACGTGAAGTCACGATGTGGCAAACAAGAGTACTGCTATTAGCAAGCCCCTACGCCAGCAACATACGAGGACGAAGTGGTTGATTACACTTTTCTCTTTAAAGCAGTCTTGACCACATATACGAATAATGGCCGTGCGACTTGCCACACGCCTCCCCGCTTTTCTCTTTAAAGCAGTCTTGACTACCAGGGATGGGTTGTCGAAGGCTTTCTCAAGGCTGATGTCAGATTTCTACGTCTCCAAGGCGACAGCTACGATTCTACCGCGACTAGCAAACATCAAGGCGCACACAGTTACCAAGGATATATGTTTCAAGCAGCATCGGCCAAGGAAGAAGCCTAGGCCTTGGTATCACCTTCTCGGCTATAAAAAAAAGGTGCTCAGAGCAGTCTGGTCAGATCTCGCAGCTTCGCGACCATTGTCTTGTTTTGGTCGCAGTTTCTCTGGCTCTCATCATCGCACCATGCCGCGTGTACCGAAGAAGGGTGTTAAGCCGGCTACCAAGACTGCGGGAGCTGATGCGCGGGATCTCGCTGCTAAAGGTCATCATTCAGAGCCGGCGACGCCAAAGCCGCACTTGAAGGATGCGGAAGGTCCGTTTGAGGATGGCGTGCGGGTTTCGCTGGTGAAGAGGCTGACTGCGCTGAAGTTCCCTGCTTCTGGTGCGCCTGCTGAGGGAGGGGATAGAACTGCTCGCGAAGAAAAGGACAATGAGGATGAGGTGACGTCGCCGATCGTTGCTCCCGAGGCACCTGAGGAAGGGGAGGAAGAGGTGGAAGATAAGGACGACGGGTATCTCAGTGACGACCCGGAGGAACGCTTTGATCCGGTGAAGGCTGGAGAGATTGCTGCGCGTGCGGGTTTCTCCATCACGCTGTTGGTTCCGATCAAATACGAGGAGGAGGTTCCGCGTACTATTGACACGATCAAGGGACTCCTTGCGCTGTGGAGGAAGTACATGTTGGCTCACATTCTGACGACGACCAAGTGTCAGGTCCTCTTGCCGGCATGGTTGTCTAAGAAGCGTTACGGAAGGTTGCAGGTCACCTTCCAGCAGGCATCGGATGCAAACTACGTATGGTGCCGCAGGATCCAGCATAAGATGGTGACCGAGGAGAGCATTTACCTGGACTGGCAGCACCCGGAGAACCCTGTCTACATTCAAGAACGTGCAGCCAACCCAGACTCCATTGAAGTGTTGCTGAAGAGCGTCCCGGCTGCCATTACGTCGGAGATGGTGTACGAATACTTGGTGAAGACAGTGTTGGAGAAGCGCGGCCGGACGCCTTTTCTCAGCGGCGCAGCTTTCCACAGGGTGGTGGACCCGGTTACTGGTGCAGACACTGACAAGATCAGGGGCCTGGTTAAGGGGCACCCGGGGGATAAGTATCGCTGGTGGCATTTGTTGGCTGACTCGGTTCACCACAAGCAGCTTCTCGTACATTACCCTTCGCTTTCTTGTGATTTTTGCAACGGCATGCATATGACGAAATTCCATGACGATTTCGTTACGGAACGCCAGGAGAACATCGGCAAATGGAATCTGACTCTACAGCGTCTGCACGCGATCAACGGTAAACAGTCGCGTACTGACCTCGCTTTTCAGGCTGTTGGGGCCCTGTTCGAGTCTGCTGACGGCTTCGTCGCCTCATACCTGAGCAGCTGCGTCTCTGCCGCTAGATGCGCGAGTGAAGAGGATTTTACGCGACCCGGCTGTGGTGCTGGTCTCTACGGGGGGGAGCAGGGAAGACTGGCTGTGTGTTCAGGAGGCGTGTGGCAAGGCGCACGGCTCCAGCTTCACGCAGGCCTTGGCGCATGTGAAGTCGATTCAGCACTGCACGGCAATCCTGCAGGGAGACTCGGCAAGCAGGAAGAGCAGAGGGAAGATGAATTTTATCCCGATCCGCAAGGAGTTTGGGCTGTAGCGGTGATAGCACAAGGTGTGGTGGCCGTCAGGAGTGTACATGATCGAGGCAGGAACGAACAAGAGGGAATAAGGCAGCTACCTGGTCGTTGCGTGACGTTGCAAGTAGGAGGAGTCTTTTTGTACCAAGCCCGTGGATGCGAAGGGGCTCTGTCTCAGTGGATTAATGGATAACAACCACAACCTCACCCTGTGCGAGGTCAATGTTAACGGCCTCGGAAGCAACGGCAAAAGAACTGCGCATGCAAAGTGGATCAGAACGATCGCAGATGTGGTGGTGCTCACAGACACGAGGATAGGTGAAGATCACAATTTCTGGACGCAACTGAAGCCGTCATCGGCGGCGGTGGTGGGAAACAATGAAAGAGCAGGAGGTGTTGCGGTGTTGTCTTTCAACGAGGAGATTAAATTCACAGAGGTGGTCATTCACCCGTCGGGTAGGCTGGTGGGGGTCATGGTGTCGTGCTCGCAAATTACATTCAGGCTGGTGGCGATGTACCTGCCCGCTCAGCCATGTGGCAGAGGTGTCTTCTTCCGGAGCTGTCTCCCGCTGTTCGTCCAGGCTCAGTCGGCGCACGCGCACCTGGTGGTGTTGGGAGACCTGAACTTAGTGGAGGACCCAGATCTGGATAAGTCGTCGCGGTCAGGCTCGGGAAACGAGAATCAGAGGTTGCTGAGCTTTTGGAGGACAGAGGACCTCAGGGATGCGTTTCGGGTACTACATCCAAATCGCCCGGAGTACACTTTCAGAGACAGGGCGTCAAAGGCGAGCACGCGCATCGACAGGGGCATGGTGTCCTTCTCGCTGCTCGGGCTGCTGGCTGATGCGCGCCATGTCAGGTTACCGAAGGGATTGTCGGACCACTGGTTCGGCATAAAGGTCGCGCTCGCAGTGGCGGCGCCAGTGGATAAGGGGCCTGGCATATGGAGGTTGCAGGCAAAGCAAGCGAGAAGGAGAGGGGTCAGCACGGTGACTGCTAACATCCTTAAAAAATTGGAGAACGAGGAAGGGATTGATCTCGGGAAGAAGCTGAGGCTGCTCAGCATGGGCCTGAGAGAGTACTCCCGGGAGGAGAGAAAGAGAGTGAGGGCGACGGTGCAGCATCTGGAGGGAGTGGTGGAACGCCTAAGGCACAAAGTGATGCGGTACCCGGGGGACAGGAGGGCGCAAAACAGGCTGGTGCGGAAAGAGGCGCACCTAGAAGCTTACCTTCAGAGCTGCAAAGACCGGTTGCAGGTCCTGGCGGGGATCAAGGTAGAGCTCAACGGGGAGGTCCCGTCGCCTTATCTGTCTGCAAAAATAAAAGTGCGGAAAAAACGGACGACTATACGGGAGATCTCGCACCGTGGAGCTGTGTACCAGGGGACAAAGGAGGTTTTGAAGGCGGTTGCGGATCATTTCAAGACAGCTTTCAGCGAGGTGGTGCCGGAGGAAGAGGTGGACTGGGGGGCCTTCTCGGAAGGCGCCAAGTTCTCGGAGGCGGACGCGGAGCTCCTCGGGGCAGATTGGACAGAGGAGGAGGTCAAACAAGCGCTGGAAAGCCTCCCGAAGGGGAAGTCCCTCAGATAGGACGGGCTACCGGCGGAGTTTTTCATACTGCACTGGGATCTGATGAAAGGGCACGTGATGGAGTTTGTAAGGGAGTTCGCGAAGACAGCGAGGATGCCGGAGGGCCTCTCAACAGCGGTGACCGTGTTGCTGCACAAGAAGGGGCCAACAGACCAGCTAGGGAACTACCGCCCCATCACGCTCTTGTCAGTCATATACAAACTGATCACGAAGGTCATGGCGACGAGGTTAAAAAAGGTGCTGGGCAAAGTCCTGTCAAAAGAACAACACGGCTTCTTACCGGGGAAAAGCCTGGCGGACGCAGTGTCGGTGGTAGCGGACGCGGTGGAGGCGGCGAGCAGCGGTAGGGAGGACTGGCTGCTACTGCTGGTAGATTTTCAGTAAGCATATGACACGGTCTCGCGGGCTTTCCTCTTCAGGGTCATGAAGGAGCTGGGAGTGCCCGAAAGTTTCATCGGCTGGACCAGGGGCCTGCACGCAGAGGCAGGGACAAGAGTCATTATAAACGGGTGGCTAAGCGACATGGTGGAGATGAACAGGGGTGTCAGGCAGGGTTGCCCCCTGGCGCCGTACCTCTTTTTATGCGCGCTTGAGCCGTTATGTAGAGTCACGCAGCGGGAAAAGCTGGGGGTCGGACCGGCCGGGAAGGAGCCGCTTGCTTACGTGGGTTACGCTGACGACACCTCTTTCTTACTGAGCGGGGAAGCACAGCTGCGGAAGGTGGTGGAGGTGTTGGAAGTCTTCGGGAAGCAGTCCGGTTTGAAAGTGAACTGCGACAAATCGGTGGTGGTGCCGCTGGGATGCAACAGGGGAGAGCCGGCGCCGGCAGACATTCCGTACAAATGGTCGGAGCAGGGAGAGCCGGAGAGGCTCCTGGGGGTGTGGATAACGCCCAACGGGGACCCGGGTCCATCCTGGGGGAAGGCTTATGAAAGGATAAGGGAGGAATTAAGGAAGTGGGAGGCACAATATCTCACGACGACGGCAAGAGTAGCGGTGATCAGCTGCTATGTCCTGCCGGTGCTGATGTTTCAGGCTCAGGTCTACTCACCGCCGGACGAGGTGTGGGAAAAAATCAGGAAGCTCTGCCATGCGTTCGTATCGGCGGGGGAAGCGGTAGAAGAGAAGATTTTTATCCTTTGGAGCGCTTACCTGGCGTGCCTACCGCGGAAGGACGGGGGCCTGGGTCAGCTTGATCCGAAGCTCTGCCTTGACGGGCTGGCAGTCCGCAGAGTTGGGAAGTTTCTGAGGGAGCCGGATGGAACGCGCCGGTGGCTGGCGGAGAAGGCGGCCAGTTTCCCGCAAGGGGTTGCCACGCTGTACGCACACCCGTCGGCGATAAAACAGTGGCAGCAGGGTAGTGAACGGTGGAAGGCGGCAGCGAAAGTTTTCTGGAAGTCACCGTTCGCAATACTGCCGGCACCGACAAGCAGATGGGAGGTAGAGGAGGAGTTTATCTGCTTCAACAGGAGCATCATGCACAAAGGGGGGAGTCCGTTCGGCCATCAGATAGGCACAGCGGCCCTCATCACCACGCGAGTCAAAGACCTGCTCACCGACGGCCCAGGGGGACGGAGGGGGGTAAAAGAGGAGGATGAGCTGACGATAGAACAACTCGGGGGGAGGCTGGATTTCTTCCAGAACAGGATCGCATGTGCTCACTGTGGAGGGGAGGAAACCCTTGTACATTGTCTCTTCAGCTGCCCAATCATACAATCGGTCATTGGCGCGCTTAAGAGATCACTGCACATGCTGAATCCGGACAGGTCTGTAAATTGTTTGGGGGACCTACTTTTTGGGGAAGGGGGCATGGCGTCAGATTTCCCGGAAATGAAGTTGACAGCGGCGGTGCTTAGGCAGATTTGGCTGGCACGATGCGATGCAGTTTGGCGCGCAGCTCCATTTGAGAGAAAGAAGGTGGGGAGAGGTGCAGTGCACGACTTCATGACGCATGCGAGGGTGGTTTTGGCATCACGAGCAAGGATGGCAACGGCAGGCGAAGGGGGACGTTTCTGGAAGATGGACAACTGGCACCAGGTGGCAAATGACGAGAGGAAGCAGCTTCGGAGGATCTGCAGTGAGGATGGGCCAACAAACTGGGCGGCCCCTTTTCTCTCTATCTGGCGCAACCCGCGCACCTTCCACCAGCCTCCGTAGTGTACCACAGGGGGGCAGAGCGACGCCTCACGAGGCGTGGCCTAGGCCTTCCAAGAAATACAGTTACGACTGCGGATGTATCTATATTTGATAATATATTTACAACCAAAAAAAAAAAAAAAAACATATACGAATAATTTCCTAGGAAATTAGGACCGTGCTGTAGCTGGCAACTATGCCACTCACTCTATAGTGTCTCATCCGATGTATCCTTAATTTTCATATATAAAATGGTATCATTCTGTAAGGAGAGGTCGGTGTTGGAATAACCGAAAGGTTATCACAAGCATTCCCGAAGGCTCTCCACTGTCGCGTCTCCTCATAGCGAAGCAGATGCTTGTACCAGTACCGCATGAGCTCATATAGAGCACGCGGAAGGTCGAGGGTCACCCGAAGGTCAACAGTCGAAGACAGTCAACGGTCGTGACCCTTGACTACCCAGTAACCGCACAAGGCAGTTGCGAAGTGCAACATGGTAACTGTCTAGAATAGCAATAGTCGCGGGTTACTGTAGCAATGTAATTCAGTTAATAAGGGAATGTACCCCTCAGAGTACATGGCTAGCTAGGATTGCTATTTATATTCTTGTACCTCTATCTTATAATCATCTTGTTCTCTTTCAATTCATTGACAAGGTCATTACAGAGACTTCACAGTTCTCTCCCACACACTTGGCAACTTTATCCTATCCACTACGATCCTTTAGTCATAACATCATGGTATGAGAGCTAGAGTGGATTATAAGGCCTGCTAAGTTCTTGTTCTTGCTAGAACAAACTCCTTATAAAATATTCTTTACATCATCAAAGACTCTGCATCACTATGGCTCCAGAAGGGAAAGCCAGTGCAGAATCTCCGGGCCCACCATCAGCAACACCCACTGCACCATCTGCGGTGAGCTCTGTCAGCGTCGCTCTCGTTGAGCAACTGGTCGCCCGCATCAATGCTCTTGAGAGCCATCAAGCCATGAGCATCGATGGCTCAAGCTTTGCACGTGGGGTTGCTGGACTTCCTCTCCCTGGAGAAGACCGCCGCGTCAACTCTGAGAGATCATTCACGTTTGACAACCGTCAAGCTTCAGCTCCTGCGCAAGACAGTCAACAGCGCGCACACGCAGATACGATTGCAACAATACAGACAAAATTCGTTCTGACATCAAAGCTGAAAAATCAGTTCCTTTCGACGGAAAGGACTTCTACAGTTGGAGCTTCGAGTTTGAGCTCCTCGCTACAAATGCGCAAATCTGGATGTACTACGACGGGAGCTTACCGTTT